AAAAAAAAAAAAAAAAAAAAACAAAAACAAACAAACAAAAAAAAAAACTTTTCTAAACAGTTAAAAGCAATGAAGAGCTGGGACATGCCTATGAGCACTTCCAGCACAGGCATCTTGGTTAAAGTACAAGAACATAGAATATACTATGTGCCTGTAAGCATGGCATGTTTAACAGCTACATAGGGTATGGCTTAACAAAGTTATTAGCACACTTATTCTTTAACAAGAAAGGAAACTTTAAAGGGGAACTTTTTTACTTCCCACATGCATGTACGTGGAGTTCTTACAGAAACAAAGGGAAAACCCAAAGAATTGTCTTGAGAGCTTATAGACAATTTTAACAAAGGGCGATGAATTCTAGAAAGTGACAAGACAAAGGAAAAGAGGTTTGAGCTTCTGAGGCAGTAAATTATAGGAAGTTAAATCCATGGCGGAAACTAATGGGAGATAAGGGTGTTTGTTTTGTTTTGTTTTGTTTTGTGTTTGAGACAGAGTCTTGCCTTACCACCCAGGCTGGTGTGCAGTGCTATGACTGTGGCTTACTGCAGCCTCAACCTCCGTGGTTCAAGAAATCCTCCCACTTCAGCTCTTGAGTGGCTCTAGGCACATGCCACTACACCTTTTTAAAATATTTTTTGTAGAGACAGAGTCTTGTTATGTTGCCCCTGGCTGGTCTCAAACTCTTGGCCTCAAGAGATCCTCCTGCCTCGGGCTCCCAAAGGGCTGGGATAACAGGCTGGATGCTGAGCTATCGCACATAGCCTGTATTAGTCATACATTGAGGAGAAATACAATTTCTTGAGAGCCTCAGCCTAGTGATCACCGGTATGAATAAACAATGATGGGTGGCTGCCAGTCAAAGAGTGCAAATACTGTGTGTGTGTGACAACGAAGTGCGGGAAGCTAAGTGTAGGAAGAAAAAGCTTCCCAGTTTTGAGACGGAAGATCTTATCAGTGAGCCGAGATCACACCATTGCCCTCAAGCCTAGGCAACAAAAGCGAAACTCTGTCTCAAAATAAATAAATAAACATTGCACTCAAGCCTAGGCAACAAAAGCGAAACTCTGTCTCAAAATAAATAAATAAACATTGCCTTCAAGCCTAGGCAACAAAAGCGAAACTCCATCTCTAAATAAATAAATAAATGCTCCCCAGTTTCAGACACGCCCCTCGGTGGGCACAGCTACCTCTTGTGTTTGGACAGTTTCCAAGTACAAGTGCTTCACACACTGTTCTGTCTTCTGTCTGATCACACCCCTATGAGGCAGCCTGGTTTTCTTATTTCTATTTTATAGAAAACCTGCTTAGAAGTCAAGCAACTTGTCCAAGGCTACCAGCTTGAATATCTGACTCTCTCCACTTTGCTGCTTTACAGACACACAAACACACACACACAGTATTTGCATTGTGTGTGCAAATGCGTATGCGTATGTATATTTAACTTGTGAAGCTGACATTGACTCTTTAACTGGCCTCCACTCATCACTGTTTATTCATACCAGTGATCATGAGGCAGAGATTCTCAAGAAAATGCATTAGTTATTTCCCCTCATATGCCTAATACAGTTTATTCAAATGAGCTGGCATGTCCTTTGGACAAAATGTCCAAATCGCTCATAATTAATGGGCGAGGTATTTGAGGTAGGGCGGACAGGCTTTTCTTTTGGTGGTTAGTTCTTTGCCTGTTAGCTCCTGATGATGTCTATGTGTGAAAGAGAACTAAACTGCATTTCACTGAAAACACTCCTTCAGATCTGTTACAAACCAGATGAGGATCCCTTTTTCTAAACCTTCCTCAACACTGCTAAAGTCTGGCCATTCCCAATCAATCCTCTTCCCCTTTGTCTGCCTCCCACAGTAGAGGATGGAATATCAGACATTCATTTTCTCAGGCTTCTTTGCTGAGGGGCCGGCCAATGAGGCAATGAGGTAAGTCTGCTGGTGCAGGGGGCAGGTTTCCAGGAAATACATTTTCTCCGTGATAAAACGAAAGGAAGCCTGAAGCAAGCTTTCTCCCGCAGCCCTGGCATGCTCCCTGTTCTGGATGAGGGTATGCTGAGATGTGGTAACGGGAGCCAGGAGAGCCGCAGAGACAGAGCGAGGCGGTGGGCGGAGTCGAGGGACAGGAGGCGGAGGCGAGCCCGGGGGCGTGGCTTTCTCACTGCGGGGCGCGGCCTGCTGCGGATGGGCGAGGCCACGTTCCGGGGCGTGGTCGCCCGGGCTTTGGAACCCCGCCTGTTCGGGGCGGGGCTGAGGCGAAAGGGTGGGGCCGCGCTCCGTCGGGGCGGGGCCTGTGGAACCTGGAAACCCCGGTGACTCGGGGCCTGAGCGCGCGTCTCCTGGCGCGGGGTTCCTCCCACGCAGACCCCCATTCAAACGATGCCGAAGGGGCGGCGCGGCAGCCGCAGCCACAGCCCCACCATGAGCCAGCGGTCGGCTCCGCCCCTCTATTTCCCCTCCCTCTACGACCGCGGCATCTCCTCGTCCCCGCTCAGCGACTTCAACATCTGGAAGAAGCTCTTTGTGCCGCTGAAGACAGGCGGGGCGCCGGTGGGCGGGGCCGCAGGGGCCAGCTCCCTGGCCCAGGCGCCCCCTGTCCCTGCGCCTCCGCCACCACCCGGCCTGGTTCCCCCCAGCGAGCGCCCCGGGCCCCCGCCCTGGCCCTCTGGCCTGGCCGCCATCCCCTACGAGCCTCTGCGCTTCTTCTACTCGCCGCCGCCGGGGCCCGAGGTGGCTGTCTCGCCTCTGGCCGCCCGCTCCTCGACCCCCAGGCTCGCCTCTGCCTCCCACCCCGAGGAGCTATGCGAGCTGGAGATCCGGATTAAGGAGCTGGAGCTGCTCACCATCACCGGGGACGGCTTCGACTCCCAGCGCTGTGCGTGACCTCGCCGGGGCCACCGAGCCCAGCCTCATTAGCCTGCCCTGGCTCCCTCCTCCGCTCCAAGCCCCGCCCCGACATGTAGCCCCGGTTTGGCTCCAGTCTCTAATAGTCCCAGATCCAAAATCTGTCCCCTAGCACCTAGACTCTCTTATCCTGGACTTCAACCGACTCCTCCCCCCACCACAGACCTGAACTTCATAGCCCGTTAGTCCCAAACTCTATCTTCCCTCCATCCTAAACCCTTTGAGTAATCTGGACTCTGAGCCTCCACACCTGGAACTCCATTCCCCACCACCTCGTCCTAAACTTTAATCCTCCCGCATAGTCATCCCCCTACCCTGTACTCTGGAACTCCACCCACCGCAGACAGTCCGCAGGCTTTAATGTTCGGTCTTAAACAGGGGCTCTCCATGGGGGGAAAGGGAAGTAGAGAACTGTCAGTGGGAGTATCTATCTGTATGGGGAGGTGGGGATTGTGCAAGGCCCACAAGGCCCAAGGCCGTTCCCTGGGCAGCTTTGGGACACTTCACCTTCTCAGTGCTGGAGGGCAGCCCCCCAGGGACGCTGTGGCCCTGGTGCCGCCTGGACTTCTCTCACCAGGTTTCTGGGCTGACGTTTGGCCCTGGACCAGGGCAGACCAGGTGTGCTGATGCTGGCAGGATCCCTTAGCCTGCGAGCTGAATGACTCCTCCCTGTTGGAGGGTAAAGTTGTTAAATGCGTTGTACTTCAAGAAGGAGCTATTGCGGCCGAGGGGGGCGGATCAGCTGAGGTCAGGAGTTTGAGACCAGCCTGACCAACATAGTAAAACCAATTCTCTACTAAAATACAAAAATTAGCCTGGCATGGTGGCATGTGCCTATAATGTCACCTACCCCAGGAGGATGAGGCAGGAGAATTGCTTGAACCCAGGAGGTGGAGGTTGCAGTGAGCCGAGATTGTGCCACTACACTCCAGTCTGGGCGAAAGAGCAAGACTCCCTCTCAAAAAAAAAAAAAAAAAAAAAAAGAAAAAAAAGAAGAAATCCAGGACTTAGGTGCAACTCTGACGATAAAATCCAGGGCTTAGCAACTCTGACCATAAAAACACATGTAACTGGATGTGTTGCATGTTTTTACAGTCAGAACCACTTACATGTTTTTACAGTCAGTTTTCTGTGTGTTTTTTCTCTCCCATCTTGGATCACAAATAGGTTTAAGGTCCATCGAGGCAGCACAGTTGCTTCCCAGGAGCTTGCTTTGGAAGTGTTAGGAAAAGCCCTTATCTCTCTTATGGCTAAGTTTGTTTTGCTCTCTCGCAGATAAATTCCTGAAGGCGCTAAAAGATGAAAAGTTACAAGGACTGAAGCCCAGGCAACCTGGAAAGAAGTCGGCTTCTCTCTCCTGAGGAGCTGCCCACCCGAGCTTGGGCAGCCACCTCCTTCGGTGTTAGTGCTTAGATAATGTGTCCCATTTGTTGTCATTTCAAAGATGGTTATTTTCTGTTCTGTATTTACTGCTGTTCTTGTTGCTACCAGCATGTATTTCACATACAGTGCCCGCTTTGCGTGGTAAATCTCATGGTCTCTCTCCTCTTTATGCGCTGCTGAGGGAGCTCTCTCATGGGGTCTGGAAGCTGCTGCCCAGCCAGCATTCATGATCCCCTGAGACCAGGGGAGGGAGCCCCCAACACTGCCATAGTCATGCAAACCAGAACGACAGATGTGTCAGGAAGGAATCAGGAGAAACCAAGGGGAATATATATATTTGGTTCTACTGCCGTGTCTCTGCTCAGAAATGTTCTTTGAGGACTGGAATAATGGAGGTTTGGTGTATGGGAGTGTATGTTTTTTTTCTCCAAACATATTTTACTCCTTGGAAGTGTTTGGTGTTTTGATTTGTTTTTTTTCTTTTTTTTAAATGTTTTTTGGACCACAAACTCTGAAAATCTTATCAAAGCCCTGGCCCTTCCTAGAAATTCATACATTCCAGAAATATTTATTGAATATTTATTTTGTGCCTAGGCACTTGGGATTGGGGATGGGGGAGAGACAGACAGTAAGTATTATAAATACATAAATCATAATGTGGTATCGTAGAAGATGACATGGTAGCGGGAGGGAAGCAGAATAAGGATTGCCCGAGGGTCAGAGGAAGGCAGGGCAGAATTTTATGTGGGATTTTTTGAAGAGGTATTATTTAAAGAAGGTCTGAAGGAAGTTGAGGGTCAGAGCCATGTGGCATTCTAGGGAATGTTCCAGGCAGAAGGGCCAGTGCAAAAGCTGCTCCAAAGACGGAAGCATGGCAGCATTTTCAAGAGCCAGCAAACAGTCCAGATGGCTGGAGCAGGAGGAGTGAGTGGGGAGTGGTCGGGGTGAAAACAGAGGGGGCCCATTTGTATACAGCCTTATAGCCATGGTAGGGACTCTGGGCTTTACTCCAAGTGAGACAGAGTCATTAGACAGCTTCCAGGGAATTATAGGATCTGACTTGTGCTGCTGCGATATGAATAGACAAAAGGGTGCAAGCAAGGAGGCAGGGAGCGCAGTCAGCAGGCTGTAGTGATTAATATTCCAGCTAAAAAGACCATGCTGAGCCTGGCGTGGCGGTGCGGACCTATAGTCTCAGCTACTCAGGAGGCTGAGGTGGGAAGGATCCTGTGAGCCCAGGTGTTAAAAGTTACAGTGAGCTATGATCATGCCACTGGCATGCCAGCCTGGGCAACAGAGCAAGACCCTGTCGAAAAATTCACCAAGTAAAAGATCATGCTGGTAGCAGCAGATGTGGTGAGAAGTAGCGGGCAACTGAAGCACAGAGTTGTAACCTAAGCTGGGGGAACACAGGTGGAAGAGGTTTTGGGGAGAAGGAGGAATCGAAGTGAGGGGAATACAGGTGGAACACGTTTTGAGGAGAGGGAGGAGCACAGGTGGAACAGCTTTTGGGGAGACAATCAGCAGTTTTGTTTGGGATATGTGAAGTTTTTGGTGTCTGGTAGACCTCCTGGTGGGAAGCTGTGTAGCTGGGGCCCATATGTAAGCCTGGAGTTCAGGAGAAAGCCTGGGCTGGAGGTGTAAGTTGGGAAGTTGCTGACATGTAGGTGTATTTAAAGGATGAAGTCAAATGAAATCACCGAGGGAGTGAGGGTAGAGAGAAAGAGAACCAATTATCAAGCATGCAGGCACTCTCACTTAAGAGGATGGGGGGAACAGGAGGAACCTGCACAGGAGAATGAAAAGGAGTGGAGTCAGGTGCCTTGGCAGCCAAGTGAGGAAGAAAGGAAGTGGTCGCCTCTGACAGTGCTGACAGGCCAAGTAAGGTAAGCCTAAGAATTTGCCCTTGGATTTTGCAACATGTTACTGTGGCTCTTGCCAGAGCGGTTTTGGTTGAGTGACAGGGCTGACACCTGACCGGTGTGGTTTTAAGAGAGAATGAAAGGTGATGATTTGGAGACAACTGGGTGTAGTTCACTCTTTAGAGGAATTTAGCCGCAGAAAACCGCAGAGAGCTAGAACAGTAGCTGATAGGGAAAGTGGGGATAAGAGACGGCTTTTGTTAAGATGGGAGAAATAACCACAGCCTGAGAGGAAGGCGCCAGTAGCGAGAGAAAGCGACGATGTGGAAGGGATCTGGGAAATTGCTGGAACGGTGTCCTTGACTGGCCAGGAGAGGTGGTGTCTTAGTCTGTTTTTTGCTGCCGTAACAAAACCACAGACTGGAGAATCTAAAAAGAACAGAAATTTATTCTCACAGTTCGGGAGGCAAGTAAGGTGGAAATGAAGGCACTGGCAGTTTCGATCATAGCGTCTCTGCTTCTAAGATGATGCCTTGAATGCTGTGTCTTAGTTTTCTCTTCTCATGGCAGAGTAGCAGGAGAGAAGAGGGAACCCACTCCAGCAAGCATTTTTAATAGCGGCATTCATTCATTCATGAGGGCTCTGCCCAGATTCGAAACACCACTTCGTAAGTCTCCCCTCCCAGTACCATTACACTGAGGATTGTTTCCAACACATGAATTTTGGAGGGGAAAAAAACATACAAACTATAGCAGGGGGATCTAGTTAACAGTAGAGAGATTGGCTTTTGAGGGGCGCAGAGATGGTTCATTTGTAGTCATAGGAGCTACATCTGTGGTATGGAGGTGCAGATGCCGGTAGATGGGTAAACGGAGAGGTGGGAACCCTAGAAGTCGTGTATACATGCACAAAAGTTTGTTCAGCCATCTCTGCCTTGAGGACGCAAAGGCACATGCACACAAGACCAGGCTGGAAACCCTGGAACTGCGCACAGGAAGCCGGTGGAAACTGGCAGACCACAGAGCTTGGGCCCCACTACAGGGGCAGCGGACACCCAGCTCCAGCTGGTTGTTGCCAAGGCAGGAGTGTGGGCACAGGGCCAGGTGAAAGCTGCTGGTTTCTAAATCTTAGCAATGAATTCAAATGTTTTCAAAACGCTATGCAGGCCAAGTAAAATAAAGATGGAAAGTTCCCCAGACACGGTAACCTCTGTGCTATACATAGAAACCCTCCTTCTCCAGGCAGAGATCCAGGCCTTTCTGGAATCCAGATATTCCAGGTCTCTTCTCCCCAGGAAGGAACCAGATTTGAGCCCTAGGCTGGTTGCTACTGGAGAAGCTCCTTTGTTCCCCCAGAAAACTTCAGGCTGGCCAGGCCAGAGGGCAGAGTCGGGGTGGAGAATCTTTTTTTTTTTTTTTTTTTTTTGAGGCAGAGTTTCACTCTTGTTGCCCAGGCTCGAATACAACGGCTAGATCTCGGCTCACCGCAACCTCCACCTCTCAGGTTCAGGCGATTCTCTTGCCTCAGCCTTCCTGAGTAGCTGGGATTACAGGCATGCACCACCATGCCTGGCTGATTTTTTATTTTTAGTTGAGACAGGGTTTCTCCATGTTGATCAGGCTGGTCTCGAACTCCTGACCTCAGGTGATCCGCCCGCCCCAGCCTCCCAAAGTGCTGGAACTATAGGCATTAGTCACTGCGTGAATAAATGAGAACAAACCAGGCATCAGGAAAACCCAATGCAGAGCTCAGATGGAGACACAAATGCCTGGCGTGGCCTTGTTTGTTTCCCTAGAGTCCCAATAGCCCTCCCTAGGCCGTGCTCCTGAAAGTGCCCACCTACTAAGTGCAAACCATGTGTGGGCACTAAGGGAGTCAATGGAGTTGAATAATTTAATTCTCGCTGCCAGCTGGTGAAATAGGTGCTGTTCTTGGCATGTTTTTTAGACGAGCAAGCAGAGTCTCAGAGAGGGAAAGTGGCATACCCACAGGCGCATAGCTAAGACATGGCAGGGCCAGGTTTAGGACTGAAGTCTGTCAAGGCTACCCTAAGCTCTCCCTCAGTGAGGTGCAGATACAGGAGGAGCTGGAGGAGAGTTGTAAAAAAAGAAGCATCTGGGCTGGGCGTGGTGGCTCAAGCCTGTAATCCCAGCACTTTGGTAGGCCGAAGCGGGCGGATCGCAAGGTCAAGAGATTGAGACCATCCTGGCCAACATGGTGAAATCCTGTCTCTACTAAATATACAAAAATTAGCTGGGCGTGGTGGCGTGCGCCTGTAGTCCCAGCTACTCGGGAGGCTGAGGCAGGAGAATTGCTTGAACCCGGGAGGCGGAGGTTGCAGTGAGCCGAGATTGTAGCCTAGCACCTGGCAACAGAGTGAGACTCTGTCTCAAAAAAAAAAAAAAAAAAAAAAAGCATCTGGCGTTTCTTCCAGGTCCTCTCAGCCCCTCGCAGCCCTCAGGTGTCCGTTTGATGTCATTGGAACACTGGGAGGTAGGGCAGGCCATCATTGAAGATGATTGAACACTTGCTTGGCCCTGACCCCTCGATGCTCACACACAGCTGCAAGGGCACCTGCAGTAGGTACGGTCTCCTGTCCTGAATCCCCTGTGCCAGTTGAGACCCAGTCCTCCTGAGATGGCCGCACCAGGCTGCCACCACTAGACACGATTCACATCAACCGACCACTTTCTCATTTCCTGCAGACCCCAGCCAGAGAAGACACAGGTTCATATCTCAAGCACCAACTCCCATCTGCACTTGGGAGCTCTAGTGGAGAACTGGAGGCCTTAAGTGGGCTCTGTGGGAACCAGTATTGGCATGGGGGCCCATGTACCATGCCTGTGGCACAAGTCCTTTTAATCCAGGTTTAGCTTCTGGGTCTACAGTTATAGAGAGAAAAATCTGGAAAAGAACAAAGAAGAGTTCACAATACAGTAAGGGAAACAGAATCAAAATAGTTTCACTTAGCGTGAATAAGTTCTAGAGCTGTCTCTGCAGCATAATGACTACTAATTAATAATTATTTTTTATTTATAATGATAATTATTTACTTTTAAAAAGCAATGTAATAAAAGTCATCAACACTTACTGGCAGTTTGTAGGTATCACAGATTGTATTAGGTTTTTTTTAACATGGGCCGTCTCACTCCATCCTTATAATGACCCTTTGAGGTGGGGACTGCTGTCCTCATTTTACAGGTGACCAAAATGGAGGCACAAAGAGTGAAGGTAATGTGAGTCTCGTATTGCAGCTAGTAAATTGGAGAGGTAGGCTGTGTTCTGATCTGCTGGGCCCACAAGTCTCCTGTGGGCATAATGATCAGAGCAGCGTGGGGAGTATGGAGGAGGTCCGCCAGGTTCCTGCAGGAAATGTGTGGCACACCCAGACTAATTTGAAGAGCATTTAATAAAGGAATTATGTTATAAACTGAATGTTTGTGTCCTTCCAAAAATGTTGTTGAAACCTAATCCCTTGTGCAATGGTATTAGGAGGTGGGACATTTGAGAGGTGATTAGGTTATAAGGATGGAGGGTGGAATGAAATTAGTGCCTTTATAAAAGAGGCCCCAGCAAGCTCGTTCACCCCTTGTACCTTCAGTGAACTAGGAACTGGCCCT